GTTGAAAATAAAAGTACTGCCTATACAAATGTTTTAATGCGTATATGTATCTCGGGCCTTTTGTAATCTTTTTATAGAAATCCGAGTGTGTTGAATTTTCTTTTCTATTTTCTATGTTATTTTTTAATCTAATATCTACTTTGCTACTTTAAGCAATCAGATCACTTCTTTTTTAAACTAATTAATCTATAGTTTTACAAGCTTTCCTTTTAAACTTCTAAGAGTGAGAAATTGTATATTTGAGATGCAAAGTAAAACTTTCTATACAAATTAAATCTATTAAAATCCTCTAGAGAATCCATAAATGTGAGAAAATTGAGATTGAAAATAGGAACAAAAATTCGACTCGCAGGAAAGCTTGGAGTTATTTTTTTTTATAAAACATTTTTCAAAAAGTCAACGCTTCGTAAAAAGATCGGGTTTCTTTTTTTTCTTTTTTTTATTTTATTTACAAGGTAGCTGAATTTATACACAAAAAAACAACCATACATAAACAAACACATAATATAAAAATATAGTTAACTTTGTTTATTCGGTTTTTGTGATGATATTATTTTTTAAAATTATACTATCTCTGGTATTCGTTTGGAACATATATTCACCATTTTTTTTTAACGCACCACCGAATTCTCGTCCTTAATGAACGCGGACAGAGTCGGGGGCAGTTTATCTTTCACGACGTGACCTTGCATGGAAGTGATTTCTACGTCGAGTATAAACACGGATAAAATAGCATCGTGCGGGAGAGGTTTGAAAGAGATGCTTTCATCACTTTTTTTGCGTCAATGCGACATTTTTAGAGCTGCATTTTTATAAGATGAAAATGTGTGCAACGGTAGGGTTAAGGGTCAGAGAAGAGCGCGGATATATCAGCGTTCGATCCTCAAGGACTGTCTCGCCTGAGAGCACGAACAATTTCGGAATATTCATCGGTGTGGCTGTTCTCGATTTGAAAATATCCGAGAGAGAGCTCGGCGGAACGTCCTTACGAACGTCCTCGGAAAGCTGTCGTCTCAGTTTTCAGTATCATAGGTGCCGTTTTGCGACGACAGAGGTAATTTTTGCTCTTTCGCCGGAACTCTTAGAAATAAGAAAATTGCCGAATTTGCGCGCCATTTGCGCCATTCTTTTGGCAGATATTATATTTTTTTTTATTTATTAAAACGCGTTTGCGACGTGTATTTTGCTGGAAATGTTCCCAAAAATGTTGCCAGCACAGGCTGTTGTGATGTTTAAAGCATTCGAAATAAAACGCTGAGCTTATATGACACACTATTGTCAATCTTACCTTCTATTACATGAAATATCTTCGTCGTTTTTGACGATATAAAATAAAAATTGCAGGAAGAATTTACGTGCTTCAAGGAGATGCAAAACATAATTAGAGAATCTTTTTTTGAAATTGCAAAAAATATATACTGTCTTTTGGAATTTCAAGTTTAAAAATTATCACTTGTTGAGAGACTTGTTTTTCTATATTTATTGTGTTTTTATTCAATTAAATTTTTATTTTTAATTATAATTGAGTGTTTTTTATATAGTGTCAACAAAATTTACAATATTTCATTATTTTGTGTTCTAATATTGCAAAAGAAATATTTTGAGAACGATTTTAGAATAGCTTGATTTTGTGACAGTGCTGCGTAATCGAATCGTGATGTTAAGATAATATCGCCAGCAGCGATTCAGCAACAGATTGGACACATACGTGTGCATACTGGAATAATAACGTCGTTAAATTAATCATGCATTGTCGTCGAGCATGTTAGGGAATAACGAACAGGTGACGCCGCGAACCAAATCGAAATTACGTTATATAAATCAAGAATAGAATGATTGTGACATTATATAGGGTGAATCACTTAAAATATCACAGATGTTACATGCTAATATTTCTAAAACTGAACGAGATATGAAATCCTTATTTTGAAATCTTTAATTTCACATGTTAACTGCAATTACGAAGTTCCATTTTTGCATCGAATGCCCACTTCAATATCAAACAGTCGCTGGAAAATAAGAATTTCATATCTCGTTCAGTTTCAGAACTATTAGCCTGTAACACCTTCAGTGATTCACCCTGTATATAATTAATATCTTGATACCTTTCCATATGAAAGATCAACTGATCTTTATTTATCGAGAAAAGTATCAAATTTGACAAAAAAAAAGGAAAAACGATCTCATATTCCGGAAAATTTATTTGATTTTAATAAGAGAAAAATATAACATAGAAAGGGACTAATACACGATAACAATTATCGACAATTTTATTTTTCTTTCTCTTTTATGATCAGGATGGATTAATATCATTATATAGAGTATAATTCTATTAAGAAATCCTATAATATGTTTTTTATCATCACAGTTTTGACATTTGCAACTTAATACATTTCTAAAATTACTGTAAATGCATAGCTTAAAAGTAAAAAATACGTTTTATATTAATAAGGAAAAATTCTCTCATTTAGAGATTATTTCTGTATAATCTATATATATATATATATATATATATATATATATATATATAAAGTTAAATTAATTTCTAAGAGAATTTTTATATTCGCGGGTTTTTTTGGAAAGATTTTTCAGCAAGAATTAATTCACAATTTTTTTTATTTCAAGCGGATTGCAATAAGGTAAACTAATTACGGATAAAAGTAGTAGAATTTAACTAATTGGAAGAGTTAAAAATATAATTACGCGACAATCTACAATATATATATATATCCATTCTTAGATCAATTATTACTTATATTACTTACTTTTATAAGAGTTTTATGAGAGCTGGCTGGCTTTTCGCGTGCATTAAACGAGAACAGCAGCGTATGCGCCCCATTCTCGTTCTTATATTATACTTCGCTTGTAACTTTATCGATTGACTTGTTGGAGAGCGCACACACATGTGTCTGCACGCAGGGTTTTTAATTTCCTGAAATACCATATCAGAATATCAGACAGAATAATATAAGCCTCTCCTCATTTTTCTGCACAAAGTAATTATATATTATATGCAATTCTATAGTACTTTACATAAATACACTTTAATCTTTCATAAATTATTTTTATTATTACGTTGCTGTCTGCATACACTTACAATTTTTTATGATCAATCCAGCATATTATGCGCATAGTAAATATCTGTAAAAATATATTTTTCAGATACATTGTGTGTCTGACAATGCAAGATTCTGGATACGATTCAGATTGCGATTTGAATTGCAAGATATTTGACATAAGATTTATTTATATACTTGGATGCCGTCAAATTTCTCTTATACAAATTTGAAACTCGAAGATTGGGACCTGTAGCGTCGGGGATATTGATATAAAAACCGGCCAACTACAGATAATAATCCCGCGAAAGTCTGTTAGGGTAAAACAAATACTATCAACCGCATTCTATCGATTTCCTCGCATATGTGTGCGCGCACCTCTATCTTTAATATGGTAATGTACATAATGTGAACCAAGAAAGAGGGAGACCAAGAGAGAGAGAGAGAGAGAGAGGGAGAAAGAGCGAAACACATGTTGTCCCGGCTGATTTAATATCAAAACTTTCGCGATATCGTCCATGAGATCGTATATTGTATTCCGCTATGTTGTTGTTCATTTATCAGTACACGTACCTACCCATTTTCGTTGCCGAGTTATACTGAATTCCTAACATATGCATGCATACATGCGTATATACATATACGGAGTGCCGTAATTCCGCAATAATGCGAAGTCAAATGTGGCTATTGAATATCGATAGACATTCCGCGGCCGCAGCCGTAAAAGGTAATATACCTTAAGAAGGGAGCGTGTGTTAATGACCTGATACGTAATCGATTGCAAATGTAAACAATGTAAAAGGATGATATATTTGCGATTATATCGCATAGATTCGAATGTCACCGATCTCTCTCTACTCGAGAAAGAGAGAGAGAAAAAGAGAGAGTATTTTTCCGAGAAATTTAAATAAAGTTGAAATAGGCGACGTATCTCGCGTGATAATAATGCATACCGATGATGGTCGACTCATTAAAATTCTGCACGCGTCGCTCCCTCTCTCTAAAAAAGCAATTGTATCAATAAGTGAATATTGATATAATGATAATGAGATTCAGTCTTCTGTTCCCTCCTTCCCTCGCGTTGCGGTTATTTATTTATTTACGAGATTGATATAGTTTTGCGTACAAAGTTACACATACGCATCAAACGAACACAAGTTTGAAACGAACTTTATACTCACACCACAGGTTGAGAAAGGAGTAACGGAAATAGATTTTAGTATGATCGATGTAATTTATATATCATCGACTATTGTGTACAAATCATCGATAAATTAGAGAATAATGCGAGGAATAATTTTACGCCTTGCAATTATGAGAACGGACGATTCGACATTTATATCGACGTTGATAAAATTATTAGCTATATTTCTCTTTCTATATATAAACCTTCTATATCTAATGAAACTTTCCGCTTTAATGAACGAGAGAGATGGCAATTAACTCTCAACGCACTCCAAGTATTTAAGCTTCTTCGTGCTCGGTTTAGCTAGACATTGTGTGAATGATGTTATCACTTCTCTAACTATGTACAATTTCCAACTATTGTCTCTCGATAGTATATGATATTAGTATGGCATTACTTCTATATGAGTCCTGAAATTACAATTCAAATTAATTTCACGTTGGTAAACATTCTTAATCGTGTTATAATGCACGCATTTCTTTTTTTCTTCTTTGTATATGTGGAGATATATATATATCTTTTCTCTCTATCTTAATTTAAGATTGGTAAGCGATGTTTTATACGACATTAATGTTATGTATGTTGTCTCCGAAATATTTTGTGGCGCAATGTTTTTCTCCTTGTCTTGTCCGAACTTTGTTTCCGAACTCTATCGTTCTTCTAAAGTGTATCTGTGTACGTGTGCACGTTCAGTTAATTAATTAATCACTGATCTCTTTTTCTGTTTCATGCCCCTCGTTTCGATCGGAACCTCGCAGAGCGCAATTAGAGTAAGTATGAACCGTGTGTGCGAGAGTTAAAAATGTGTGCGACACTTAAAGGGAAGGTCCAAAGGATTGTTTTATATACTCAGCTCTGCTTTATTTAACTTTTCCTTCTGTCTTCTCTTCCATATCGATTGTCGCTATTTTGATTGCGTAAGTAGTTGCACCTCGTTCACATTTCTATCACGGTTCTCTCGTTTTGCCCGATGATGACATGAGTATCGATGACCGTGTCACGTCGTTTCTATTGTTTGTTGTAGCTCCAGCGTTTGCACAACTCTATTTCTCTATCTTTATCGATCTGTCATCTATCTATCTGTCCGCTATTTCGTATTGTGTTTCTTATAATCTGCCATAGAGCGAGAATATATATATTTCTTTCTATTCTCAAGTCCAATTCGATCGGTCAGTTATTGGATTTATCATCATTCTTTACCCTTTGGAGCGTTCTATTTTTCTTCGCCTGCATAAATACACGATATATATACATAAATACATTGCCTGCAGTCTAATAGATACGATAGATTTTGTTTATACGGTCAGCAGCTTGCTGGACCAACAGCTTCTATAAAATCAATGTTCGACGTAGATAAGAATTTTCTATTATTTTTCAAGTTTTTAGTTTGAAATCTATACTTATATGTGGGAACTCGTATAATCTGGTAGGAATGTCAAATCGTATGACAGCAGAAAGGGAAAATAATTATTTTTAAAATTATTTTTTAAATCCGAAAAAGAAAAAAAAAAGTGTTTTGAGTAATCTTGCGAAATTAATTATGATGCGTGAAATTCTATCTGCCGGGAATGCGATTTCTCAGACGAACTTACGTTGCGTTTTCGTTTATTCCGCTTGAACGCGGATTCGCGTATCGCGCTGTTCACCGCGCAGCAACAAATATACGAACGCATGCCAGCAAATTCTGCCACTATAATAAATACCGCTTTTATAAATATGACAAGAGGTGCTTACCTCTTACATGACAAAAATGCCTCTCTATGATTCTCTCATCTGTTGAACGAACGTAAAAGCATCTTTAGACCTATCTATTGTTATATTTATCCAATTTATCTCTGTACAAACTATAAAACTCGTATATTTTTTATTTTATTTTTTAAAAATAATTTTAATTTATATAGATTAATGAGATTTTGTTCACCGAATTAAAAAAAATAACATTAAACATGATATTATTATAATTAATAATTTTTTTGGATACAAAACAAAATCACCTTCTCTTTCTCATGATGTTAAACAAGGTATTATTACAAATAATAATTTCAATAATTTTTAGGTACAAACCAAAATTATTTTCATAACATTAAACATGAGATATTATTATAATTAATAATTTTTAGTTAGATACAAAAATAAAACTTACTATTATATATCTAACTAAAAATTATATGAATATAATGTCGTACTCGATGTCATTTTAACCGTAAAAATCAGCGACAGTTATAAATGCCGACCGATGTTGCAGGTGTCTCGTGATGCATCTTTCTATACATCGATAACGGAGCACTCCGCGCGGATTTCTTTTTCATTCTTATTTATGAGTTATGAATAGAAATTTGCAATAAATAAGGGGACACCGTCGCGAATCCAGTAAAATACTCGCTGTGAGACTTCTCTTTAATCGGATAAAAAATAAAAAGAAATTTATGCGGACGTATACCTTTTTCCCTTTATGTGTATATTGCGCTTACGGGCGAAACGTAACGTTTCGTGCTTTTAGCGACGCTGTGATATTATAAGAACGCGCGTGATCGTATTTTTTACGATATCTTATATAAATAACGTCGATGTCGAACACATTTAAACATATCGAATGATGTAATAAATAAATAAATGATATAATAAATTTGCGGATTATTCAAACACATAAATTCGAGATTATGAAATAGCAGCCGAACAAATATAACGGATGTAAAAAAGTTTAATTGGTGCTATATTAATTCGTATTTATATTAGCGAAGATATTATTTATTCATTATGTTCCCTAAAAAAAAATTTAATTATTTTATCAAAATTCGATTTATTTAAATGATACACATTAATTTAATTATTTTATCAGAATTTGATTTATTTAAATGTTACACATTAATTTGCATAAGGTGCCAATAGATTATTCTTCGATATACATTTATAGAAATGGAATGGAATATCTCAAAACTCTCTGGCTGATTTGGACTTGACTTTTCTTTAGCGAAAATGTTGAGGAAGATCATTATTTTTTGCAAATTTCCAATTTTTTTATCGTATATATGTTTGTTAATTAAGAGTTTATTAATTAAAAGTTCTCTCTAATTAAAATTCTATTAAAGTAAATTTTATTTGCGATTAACCGGAGAAAATAATTTTATTAACATTTTGACTTTATAAAATTTAATTTGCGAAAAGCTCTTATTTTTCAATCAGTTTATGACTCGCAAATTATTGATGCTTCGGCTTTTTCGCTAAGGAAAAAGTGTCTGCAAATTGACCAAGGAATTGGCCAATGAAATTATTCTAGAATATCCTGTGTGTGTGTGTGTGTATGCAATCCATTAAAAATATTTTAAAATATTGAGACAACTCTCTCTCTTAGAAAAATGACAGGAAATCAACATTTTTTTTTTTTTCTTAAAACTTGATATTTTTTTCTATTCAATACAACGAGAGATGAGAGCATTTTATAGTTTTCGTATCAAGCAATCTCAGCTTGCATTTGTATCGATTTCTTTCCACGTATGTACGTGCCGTGTATTTATTTTTCTTTCTTGCCACGGCTTTTGTACAATTATGAACGCTCTGCGACTGAGTAGTAAACAGCAACTATTAATACAAGCCGGAGACATGACATGTATCGGCTTGCGATTAGCAATGTACATGGTAGTTCGCAGTAGATGCGACAGAGAGTAAATTGAGCGATAAGACTTATCTAGATCTTATTGTTATAGAGTTATCGCCTATTGTGCCTCTATAATGTAACGTCACCAAAACGTCGTATCGCTAGGATATACGCTAGGTTGTTGATAAGCTTGTGCATGAACGGGAACGAGCGAGAGGTACACAATGGCAAATTTCACGTCAATCAGGTATCTCTGTTATAGTGTTGTCACTCGACAACGATGGCAACGTTTGTCTCGTTAGACAGAACGTTTTCGCGTCGATTTAGCATTTCGAAAACTGAAATGCAACGAGAAATTGTCGGGTATAAGCAGATTATAAATGTCATTACAAATGTATGAAATGGAATCGAATATTAAACTGATAATCGCTTGTTACGTTTTACATTTCTAAAAATTTATCGATTGAAGTATTTATAATATTTTTGAGAATTTTAACAAAAACATTTGCTTTTAGAGAGAATTTTGTATGAAAAATTGTAAAACTGCCTCTACCGTTCTCTTGAGAAAAATTTTACGTAATATAATATTGCGTAAGATTATCATGAGACTTGCTCTTTGTAGTAATTATAAATATGATAAAATAAAGATGAATATGTGTCTCACATTGAAAACTAGAAATTTTTGGTCATCAAATTCTTTAATTATAAATTTTGCGAATATTAATAAGATCTTTGTAATTTCTTTTTTTACAATTTTAGTTTGATTTTCTCAAATTGCGATGGAGCATCTCTGAGGCCTGAAAAATTGCATAGAAGGATTATTTCTTTTCTTAGATTCTTTTGGTATTTGATTAGTTTTCAATGAGGTAATGAAACAAATAAAATACCAAGTTTGTTTTAGCGGCGCGGTCTCTCTAGGCGATTCCTACTTCTGTCAAAGGATAACGAGAACGATTGAGCAACTAGAGATGACCGTAATTCTCGTCGTGAGGGTGAAAATAAATACGTGCGAATAACGGCGACAAATTTCACGTGTATTTTTCAGGACGACCGGTAGTCCCGCCAGCAAATCCCCGGCAGGTGGTAGCGGTGGACCCACAAGCGGCGGCGGAGCCGCTGGTGGAACGGCGGCGCCAGGTAGCGGCGCCAGCAATGCCGGAAGCGCGGAACCCCGTACACCGACCGCCGGACCGCAAAACAAGCAGCTACAGAACGTTAAGGGAGAACACCCCTCGGTAAAAGACTCTAGATTTTTCGCCGTTGATTAGAGGGAAAGAAGATAAAATGATGAAATTGGCTCCTCCAAAAGTTGTAATTTTAAAAAATCTTATTTATTTATCAATTTCTCGGTATTTGCAGATGATAGAGAAGGCTTTAGTTGATTAAAAAAATGGATCATTATTTTTGCGTCGTCACACAGAATCGGGAAAAATTGACGAACCAAAAGATCGTCATCTCACCCTCTTTTCCCTGATCGAGGGATCATGATGTAACGTGACGTAAAGAAGTTATAAAAATGATATTAATTGTAAAATTGCGTGGATGCGATACATTCTTGTATCTCAAACAGAGACACACGAACATAAAATATTTAATCCTTCTAAACATCTTTCTTCTTTTGCAATGTAATTCGATTTTAAGAGAAGATCGCATTTTAGTACAAACTTTAATCTAAGTATTGCACCTAGAAGTGAAACGGAGGGATCCCGAGACGTGGTTGTCTTCTTTAAAACGGAAGAGGCAATTGTAACGATCGCGCTGTGTGTGTGTGTGTTGCAGAAAGCGTTTCTACAAAGCAGGTCTATTTCCCTGGTCGACATGTACATCGATAATTCGGAGCCGAGCGAGAATGTCGGCCAGATCCACTTCAGTCTCGAGTATGACTTCCAGAACAGCACGCTTATTCTGCGCATCATACAGGTTGGTATATCGAAGTTTCCGTTGTACACAATTTGATGCGCCAGAACTTACCTCTCCGAAACTTACTCACCAGCCGTTTATTTTGCTATTGAGCCTGTTTGCACGCGTCGGTTGCATACGATCGGAATATTACTACGATCGCGCAAGTATAAAGATGATGATGATGATGATAATAATAATAATAATAATAATAAAACAAAGAGGAAGAGAAGATAATATTATGCAGAGGATATCGATTGTATTGGTACATAAAGTATAAAGATACATAATCAAAATACATTAAATTAAAATTGAAGGCATTTATCATATTAACAGCGTGTTTTGTAGTTAATGATACAATCGGGAAACCAATAATTCTACATGAAAAAGTAAGTCGAAAATGTTAAGTAAGTTTTTTTTTGTACAAGGTTTTGTTTTCGACAAAATAAACTTTGAAAGTTGGAAAATTGATAACACATTAAGTTTTTTTGTGCTTGAATGACTTCTAACGATCTATTAATAATTATAATAATCTAATCGATCTATTAATAATTATAATAATTAATTTAATAATTACTGAATTTATTTCAACAGTGATTATTAAAATGTATATATGAATGGATACATAACATGCACACAACTATTTTAAAAAAGTGAAGTTACATATATACTTTATATATACAAGTTTTCAGTGTAATTTCAATTATCATAAATTATTTTTATCGAATTGTTCTAGCTTTATATTTATATATCAATAGTCACCGTCGATATAAAAATATGACACTAGACCATTAGAGACCATTCTTAAAAGAACGCAGACATGTTATCAGTTTTTCAAATTTTAAAGTCAAAATTTTCTCACGTGAACAAAAACGTATGAAACAATTTTATTCTATATTTTTAACTTATTCATTGATGTAAGATCATTATTTTTTTGGTTGTATCTATATGCGTGAACGTGCATCATAGTCGATTTTTGGACGGTGAGGACCATCCATAAATCGGCGACGAGACACCATTGTGCATCATTGTGAAATGTGGATGTGTGTACGGAATATTCTGCAAAACTGGAACGCCGTACATTACTTTTCTGTTACATAGTGCAAGGACTTTTGAAACTGAAATGTGCTACAGTCGCAGGAAAAATAGCACGTTCAACGCGGCGGCAACTTCTCGTTGTAAACAAACGCATAAATTACGGAACGCTGGATTTTTCGTCTCGCGCGATTTAATCCGACGTTAAGTGTAACACACTCGGCCACCGGTCTACCGTTCTTTTTGCATGGCAAGGATTATCGTGCCAAGAGATCTCACGTCAACAGTCGGGCACGTAGTATAGCATCGTCTCTACCATATTTGCGCGATTATACTTTACATCGTACGCGGCGACCAAAATATTGCATTTTATACAATAGTCTTCAATAGGTTCAAGTTTTAACGTATAATTTCTCGAACCACTAAAGATATATTTGTAGAAGAATTGTATTATTATTATATAAAAGTGTAATATATTAATTTTGGGTGGAGTTCCGAATAGGTGAACCCTCCGATTTTTTTGAAACTACACTATTTTTTGTATTTTTGAACGCTGATTACGAATATGATAATGAAAATTTGCGACAAGGTCATTTTCAAGGTCAAAACAAAAAAACTGAAAAAATATAACTTTTTAAATATTATTTCGATAAATATTGATGTAAGAAAAAAATGTGTCAAATAAAAGTTGTAGTTCTTGTAAAAATACATCATTTATGTTCTATACATTTTTTGCGTAAAACTGAAAGTTTTCGAGAAAATCGATGTTAAAGAATAAAAACGGCAGGTGAAGTTCCGAAAAGTGCTCACCTCTGATTTTTTTGAAACTCAGTATTCTTACGTATTTTGATGCACTGATTACGAATATCATAATGAAAATTGGTGCATCTCTCATTTTCATAGTGAAAATCATGAAAAACCCATAACAATTTTAGATCTTACAGAGAAAAACATTTTATGTCCTATTAATTTTTACCGTACGATAGTTTTCAACAAAAACGATGGAATCTAAATCTTATATCTGTTCTCCCATCTAAGCATGTACTTTGCAGTACATATACGATTCCACATGGGTTTACAACTTTCCACGTAGAGCGAGGTTCCACGCAAACCTATTTGTCTAGTTTTTCGGAACTTCACCCGCCGTTTTTAGTCTTTAACATCGATTTTCTCGAAAACTTTCAGTTTTACGCAAAAAATTTATAGAACATAAATGATGTATTTTTTTAAGAACTGCAACCTTTATTTGAAACATTTTTTTGTTACATCAATATTTATTGAAATAATGTCTAAAAAGTTATATTTTTTCAGTTTTTTTGAGTTTTGACCTTGAAAATGACCTTGTCGCAAATTTTCATTATCATATTTGTAATCAGCGTTAAAAAATACAAAAAATAGTGTAGTTTCAAAAAAATCGGAGGGTTCACCTATTCGGAACTTTATCCTTAATTTTATGATGCTATAGAAGTGAGGATATAACTATATACAGTGTGCTACTTTCTTTTTTTAGCGAAAAATTATAATGAAATCGCTAAGTATTATCGCACAGTTTATTAAAGAAGCACATGCTAGTGAAAAAAGCATTATTTTTCGCTCAATTTGCATCCGACCTCTTTTCCTTGGCGAATTTAATCGCTCCGTCGTTGAATTATTTAATAGAGAACTTTGGCGAATATATGATGTGTTGTTGTGAGTTGTATTTTATATTTCTGACATTGGTGCATGAAACTATAAAAAGATAATATTAAAGAATATTGATAATACGTGTGTAACGTGAGTTTCTCACAAGGCCTTTCTTTCTGTTTGGGTAATTCGGTTAACTTTAAATTTTGTTGTATTTTCTTCGCAACAGGCATGAATTATAAATAGCTCGCAATACACCTCGATGAAAGTGGAATCTTCCATGCTTTCATCCCGAAAAATTTCCAATTTCGCGATTTTCTGTGTTTCTTTCGTGTGAAAATTTATTGGCATTACGGAAAATTCAACCGTGTATTCACATCGCATTTATTCGATGTGTATTATGTCCAATATCATTATACAAGCTCGAAAATGGAGGCTTTTTTTACAAAAATTCATATGTAACGCACATACACGTATATAGAAATACATGCAGAATGTTATACAATTATATCTGTAAATTACAGCCACGTTTTCAGTTAAGTTTCATCCGCAAATTTTTTTGTCAATTTGCAGGACCGACTTTTTCTATTAAACAAAAATTTGATCAAGGGAATTTTATTCCTACACGCTTCCTTAATTTTTAATATTAGATAATTTGACAATTATGTATTGTATAAAGATTCTCGTTTAATTAATGTTTATTCAAAATTAATTCGTAAGGATTAATTTGCAAGAAATCATTCATTTTTATTCAATGCTTAAAATATAAAAAAAAAGAAATTTTTTTTAAACCTTCGTACAGTCTTCGTATTTTAAATGCGCAACGTCGTTCATCTCGGCGAGTTTGACTCGTCATAATGACATTACGAAGTTGGGGAAGACGGCTTCTGACAGGCGAATGAAAAATGATCGTTCATCTCGCGGCGCGAGGATACCTCCAAGGTCACGGTCGAGAGGCTTTCAAACGACTAGACTTGAGTGACTTTTACGAAAAGTTGGGAAGAGCAGCACCTTTGGAGCGAACCTCTTTTATAGTTTCGCGAAAAACACACGGGCGGCTATCGAGGTCGTTACGAGCCGTTCTTATTGATTGCCCCACGTCCGTGTACCTCCCATTAACACAGCATCTACTATGTCGCGCACACAAGAGAACCGCTTACAATCTGTTAAGGACGACGCTAGTTATATCGCACACAGGTACAAAGCCTGTTGCGCGTTACACAATTATTGAATTCTCTTATCTATAAACTGGAAGAACCATCGATAACTTTGTAAGACGTTCGCGTGATGGAGACAAAGACATTCGATAGAATTCGATGCATCAATTGCCCGCTATTTAGATTCGCGAAGTCATTGAATATTCTTTTGGTAGCAGATTCTCTGACTCTAATTTAAGTCAATTTTTCTTTAGCAAACATATCGAGGGAAATCATGATTTTGTGCAAGTTTCCTTTTTCTTTTTATATATCTATCTATTTAACTACAACTCAAAATTTTAATAAATTAAATTCAAAAATTCTGAAATTAATTGAAGAATATAATTTTGTTAATTTTTTGACTCTACAAAGTTTAGTTTGTGAAAAGATTTTCTCTTTTAATGTTTATGACTTGAAAATTATCGATATTTTATTTGACATTTACGTTAGGTAAAAATTATCTTTAAATTGGCCAGATAATCTGCCACAAAAAAAAGACATCCGGTGGTTTTACACATTTTACATAATGTTATAAACGAAACATACATAATAGCCATTCACAAGTATATGTAGATATTACAAACGAGGTCGAATTGTGATACTGGCATTTTTTATCTCTATTCGAGGTATAGAGATTATCTCGGAAACAGTTAAGTTGCATACTCATGTTAATTAAATCTTTTTTATTTATTCTAGTGTGTAGTTTATACACTGCACATAACATGCACTGTTTTTTTTTTTACCATTTCTTTTGTTACACACACATATACATACACACTGTATATAGTGAAATAAAATATTTCTTTATTTATTTCAAAATTTTGCGATTCATGTCACGACGAATGATGTCACTTAGAATGACATTTGCAAATGTTATTAAATTCCATTCTTTTTTAAAGAAGATATATATTGTCTCTTCTTTTCTGCGAAAAATTTCGCAGGCGCTTAGCATTATACCAATGAGAAATCCGGTCTTGTTTGTAAGATTATGCAAGAGCATTATGCGTAAAGATTATGCAGAGACTTACATCGAACCTCGCTTTTCGTATAAAGAAGTGTCTACTTTAAAGGTACACTAAATCTGCATGTCTCGCGAAAGCTTCGGAAGAACATCGTCGAAAGCTTCTCGTTCATTAAAATTCCTATTTATCTCTATATATCCGATTGTGTTTCAGGGTAAAGATCTGCCGGCGAAGGACTTGTCAGGTACTTCCGATCCGTACGTCCGCGTGACGTTACTACCGGACAAGAAACACCGACTCGAGACAAAAATCAAAAGACGCACGTTGAACCCGAGATGGAACGAGACCTTTTATTTTGAGGGTGAGCGCACGTGTGTTCGACAATGCTTCTTGTATTAATCCACTTTTTTCTGAAAGCGATTTTTATGAAACGCGGCCAAAAAGTTAGACGACATTGTCTAAGGGAATTGCAGCGAAATAGCATAGTGGCCTGAGAAAATTCAATTTAAAAACACATCTAATAACAAAATAGAAGCCGTATATATATATATATATACACATAAATCTCAGTATATTTCATTTTTTTTTTTTTACGTAGACTAGTAGAGTTATGTTGAAATATACTTGAAAATAAAAAATACGATAAATTTTGTCAATTATATCTCCATTATCATATCGATACAAAAAACAAATTGCTAAAATTATAAGAACACACGTAAAATTAAATTAGGTTCGGTAAATAGGATTATATGGTAATTTAATAAAGCCTACGCTTTACGCATTTATGTCTCGACAGGTTTCCCCATACAGAAGCTGCAGAGCAGAGTACTACATCTGCATGTCTTCGACTACGATCGATTCTCGAGGGACGACTCCATAGGGGAAATGTTTCTGCCGCTTTGCCAGGTAATTTGCCGAGAGGCGTCCTCCTCCTTCTGGTTACCGCTCTTGCAATTTGCGCGGTTCAATTATTACACGCGGCTTAAGGGATTCGCGTGACAGGATACGCAGAGAATCTGACGTGTTGCGCGTCGCACGTCTCTGTTGCCTTACATCTGTCCCGGAATCGGATCCGTAGATTCTTATCCCTTAATTATTATCCGCCTGTCGCGAATGGAATTACCGTCTAACGGATGAACACATATATATATACACAAAATCTCAGTATATTTCATTTTTTTTTTTTTTACGTAGACTAGTAGAGTTATGTTGAAATATACTTGAAAATAAAAAATACGATAAATTTTGTCAATTATATCTCCATTATCATATCGATACAAAAAACAAATTGCTAAAATTATAAGAACACACGTAAAATTAAATTAGGTTCGGTAAATAGGATTATATGGTAATTTAATAAAGCCTACGCTTTACGCATTTATGTCTCGACAGGTTTCCCCATACAGAAGCTGCAGAGCAGAGTACTACATCTGCATGTCTTCGACTACGATCGATTCTCGAGGGACGACTCCATAGGGGAAATGTTTCTGCCGCTTTGCCAGGTAATTTGCCGAGAGGCGTCCTCCTCCTTCTGGTTACCGCTCTTGCAATTTGCGCGGTTCAATTATTACACGCGGCTTAAGGGATTCGCGTGACAGGATACGCAGAGAATCTGACGTGTTGCGCGTCGCACGTCTCTGTTGCCTTACATCTGTCCCGGAATCGGATCCGTAGATTCTTATCCCTTAATTATCATCCGCCTGTCGCGAATGGAATTACCGTCTAACGGATGAACACGCGAATTGATTGATTACTTCGGAGAAATCACAACGAAAAAGAGAGAGACAGAAAGATTCGACGAGAATGCGCTTCTTGAATTTATTGAAATAATTATTTTGTCCTGAAATAAAGTTGAATTATAAATATATTTGCAATAATATTTTTTTATATATAGATATCCCGTGATACAACCGGAAAAGTAATAATTTTAAAATAAAGTTTATAAAGAATTTATTCTACAATTTCGACATTTTTTCATCAAAAATCTTATTTTTTCTCGATTACACCATTAGTCATGAAACATTCTGTTATTAAACAAGAAATATTTTATCAGTACAACAATACCTTTTTTATTTCAATATTTTTTATATGTCATGTAATAGAAAACTACCCTTAAAACTTATTGTTTGAAGGCGAGATAATCATGAGTTTAAATTGAAATATACTACATAGATGTAAATTATATAAGAAAAAGATCTTTTTTTATAAACTTACAGAGAGGTTATTTTTGAATATGCGATCGCTTATTAAACAGAAAAATTTCATCAATAATTCAAGAAGTAAGGCCAATTGAGTTTCTGCCAGTTATTTTTTATTCGAGAGGGAGTACGAATGAATGAGTTTTAATTCACTAATCCGGCGGTGCCGGTGGACCATTTAGCAGCATAACTCCAATCTGCGGTATCAATATTACCGAGAGAAACAAGTTATAATTTGCACGCGCAATAATACGTGGGAGACACGCGCGCGTGATAATTCAACGCGCTGTGCACATATTCATTTCCCAGGAGCAATACCTACATTTACATCGAGGATCAGACATTTCGTGCATTTTCGTATCACATATATATAGAAAAATTTAATAAAAAAAATGCTTTATTGATATTAATGCTATCATAAAAGGCATTAATAATATTAGATAAATTAAGTTATATAAATATATATATAAAAATTGTATGCTTTGTAAATATATAAAAATTATATGTTATAAACTATAATAATATAATGAAAACACGAGACATTAATGATATTATTTATGCGAGTGAAATTTAATTCGCTAATCATGCTGGCAGAGCACTTAGCAACGTAACTCCGGTCTTGTATCAATATTATTATTGCGGAAAGACGAGACACTAATAATATGATATGCATGTATGCTCTAATAAGAGTAATAATAATTATAATTAAATACATTGTAATCATATAAAGATTCTTCGTTTTTTTTTTTTTTATTTGGGAACAAGTGCTTTAACAGTGAATTGAGTTGCTCAAATTGGTCGTATTCGCGCGATTCGAGACGTCTTTATATCGTAAAAACTTTGCATTTATAATTCGCAGAGTACGATAGCAATTAATTATTACATCCATATGTGACCGCTTGAAATAGAACATGTATAATTAGTACACGTTCGCCGCATGCTCTAATAAGGGACAAACGTGACGAAGGTAATAATGATAACGTGGCGAACGTTGCCTTCCCCTATAAGAGACTGTATAATTTTTCATAAGGACATGTAAACACGCAGACACACATACGCACGCACGCGGAAACTCTTGGTTCTGTCTTGATTTTATTATTTCTCTATTACCGTCGTGAAAAACCATGCATTTACTAATCATAGAATTAATAATTTATTGAGAATAATTAATATAGATATTAGAAAGATAATTTTTCTTCCCTTTTGAAAAGTTTGGGCTTTGATTCGCTATAACTAGACTGAAAATTCTACAAGATAGATCAGTAACATGATACTGAAAACACAACAGTTATCGGCAATATTTCGCGGATTTGTCGTAGGTCGATTTATCGGAGAAACCGTCGTTTTGGAAGGCTCTTAAACCACCGGCTAAGGATAAATGCGGAGAACTCCTGTGCTCGCTGTGCTATCATCCGAGTAATTCCATATTGACGTTGACTCTCTTGAAGGCGAGGAATCTTAAAGCTAAAGATATCAACGGGAAATCAGGTAACATTACATTGTTCGTACGTTGTCTTGTATCGTCTAAACCTCTTCTTCGAAAAATTGTACTTTTCTCAATACGCACTTTTTTCTTTTAAGAAATTTAAATACAACTTGTGTGCGTTATAAATATAACTAAACATATTTTTAATTAATATTTGCAATTTCCAGATCCGTATGTCAAAGTGTGGCTGCAGTTTGGTGACAAAAGGATCGAGAAACGCAAGACTCCGATCTTCAAATGCACCTTGAATCCAGTATTCAACGAGGTATTCTCCTTCAATGTACCATGGGAGAAGATTAGAGAATGCTCTTTGGATGTAATGGTGATGGATTTCGACAACATTGGACGAAACGAATTGATCGGCCGGATTCAACTCGCAGGTATCTTGAATTTTTTTCGATAATAAGCGTGTTTTATAGAGAATTCATACTATATCTCTATCTAATGATATCTGTATTTCAAAAGGAGAAACGATAGCGAAAGAGACATAAATCTCTTAAAGATATATATATAAAATATTATTAATAAGAATATATTTGGAATATATCTGTTATCTGTTGTATTATTCAGTAATTTGAAAGAAATCTCAAATATCCAAATTATGTAGTTTATTCCTGCAAATATTTATTAAGTTTGTCATACGTCTGGACTGCCCAAAATTTCAACGTTTGTAATTTGTCGACGATTAAAAGAAATTTGAAATTTTTTTTTCAACCGAAATAAACTAGCGTTTTTTCCCGTTCGTTGATCAAACGTCGAAACATTGTAGGAACAGATAGCGACGGGAAATTGGAATCCGGTGTTCAGTGTATTCATTTCGTAAATTCCTTTCCAGGGAAAAACGGAAGCGGCGCGAGTGAAACGAAGCATTGGCAGGATATGATCACAAAGCCGAGACAGACCATCGTGCAATGGCATCGCTTGAAGCCCGAGTAAAGGGGACGAGGTCTACCTTGATCGACGATAAATGATATTCTAGTCGAGCGAGTCCCTTCCTCCCATACTCTTCCCATGTGCACTGCGCTCGTCAAAGTTACGTTAACGAGGCGACCTTTTCCTTTGCTCGATAATCCCCGTAACAGATATTTTCTCTCCCTCCTTGTACCATTCAACGAGACTGTACTGGATGTATTCCCCCCGCATCGCACTTATTGTTAGGGCACTTAGCGGACGCTGGTCGTCGAGCAGCCGTGCCGATCGAATCGCGTTAATCGCGATTAAAACGGAAGGCATTTTCAAAGGCGTTATTGTTCGTTGTTGCGAGTCATCGTGCTAACGAGTGATAACGACGAAAATTGTCTTATCGTTGGTAAAACGATGAACCGTCAAGAGTTTCGGCGCGAGACGGAATGTTCTAAACGCATCGTTCGATACCGTCGAGATAAGCCACGCTTTTTCGAATTTCTTGAAGAAAATTATTAGTCGATGGCGACGATGGCGGCGCATTAAGAAGAGGAAGAGAGTACCACAGCTACGAACGAAACTCGGTCTTCCGCCGTAGCGAAATCGGAAAGCTTTTTACGTCAGGCGTTGCTCTTTTTATTTTCATGATCTTCTCTGCTCTTTCCCTCCTA